GGAGACTAAGAGCAGCTAGTTAACCTGTCCAAAGCCACACAGCTAGTAGAACTGGGATATAAATACAAGCAATTGACTCTACTGTCTCAATTCTTTAACATTGCCTTATCCTGTCTCCCACACTGTTGTTTTAATTGCAAGGTTATTTGTCACCTTTCTTTGAGTATATAGTTTACTGCAAGAGAACAGTCAATTGTAAAAGTTCAACATATACTAATTTTTTCTCATAATCCAAAACTGTTGCTATAATTTACATCAACAAAGATTTATTAAACAAAATGCAATGCAAAAGACTTGTAATATTTGGAAGTGAAGAATCCTTTTCGATGCGGAAAATACTAACAGGATTCAGTCCATTTTATTGTTGCTACCAGGGGGAAATTCAGTGGTTTGGCAATTCATTAATATAAAGCCCCAAATGAAAATCCCTATTAATCTACATGAACCTGGCTTTGGAGAGGCTCTTAAAACTTTCCTCATATATTTATGTGGGAAAAAGTTATTTAATACTTTTTCTTCCTTTATTGATTTTACAGAGAGAGGAAATAAGAGGGAGAGAGAGAGAGAAAGAAACATCAATGAGAGAGAACATCGACTGGCTGCCTCCTGCATGCCCCACCACTGGGGATCTGGCCCACAACCTGGGCATGTGTCCTGACCGGAAATCGAACTAGCAACCTCTTGGTGCACGGGTTGATGCTCAACCACTGAGTATACTGGTTGGACTATTTAATACTTTTAATAATTCTAACGTTATCCAAGTTTAAAATGTAAAAAAAGAAACAGTTTTTTAAAAACATATATATATATATGTATATGTATATGTATATGTATATGTATATGTATGTGTATATATATACACCCCTTTCATCATAAGTATTAAAAGTATCTCAGGAAATACCTTAGTAAATTTTGCTAAAACCCTCAAGTATTACTAATACAAAAAATTTTACATACACTTTCAAATTTAAAAAATATGATGGATATTTTTGCAACTAAGATGAAACAAAACTTACAATGAGTCACAACTTGAAAGAAATGGCATCATGAACAGTTCTTACCTTTGTGGAATTTCACATAACTTACTGAAGTTAATAGAAGTGATCATGTTGCTTTTTACTGCATCAAACACTTCATTAGGAATCAAGATTGTCTGTTTATCACTAAATGAAACGTGTTTAAAATCTGCATCATTTTTAGAAGTCTAGAAAAAATATGGCTATTACTTTTCACTTTTAAAGAACTTTAAAGATTTGATAAGAAAAATTTAAGGTACTTGATTATTTAGTTCTATAAAGAATGCCACAAATCATTCAACTGAGAACCCAAGGATATTCAAGAAACTGAGACTAATAGCCTCCAGGCAGAAAGCCAGAGGATAACTGAACCTTTCCTGGGCTTGAAAATCTACCCAGAAAAGTAAGACTTAACAGTGGTGTTTAATGTGAGCCCACCCAGGCTCATCCAAACCCAGTAGAGGAAGCCACAAACAGCAGAACACCCACACCCACAGGGAAAATTTGGCAGGCTCCAAAACCCACTAAGATAGCCAAAATGGTGAGACAAAGAAACAAATCCCAAATGAAAGAACAAGAGAACTCTATCAGAGATGAGATCAATTAAATGCAGCTAAGCACATTATCAGAGGTAGAGTTGAGAGCCATGATCTTGAGGAAGCTCAACAGCATGAGTAAGGACATCAGCACCATGAGTAAAGATATAGAAACATTGAAAACCAACCAAGTGGAAATGAAGAATGACATAGCAGAAATAAAGAACACATTGGAAGGACTAAACAGCAGAGTAGAAGAAGCTGAGGACCAGATCAGTGAATTAGAAGACGGGGTAGAAAATATCAACCAATCAGAAAACCAAAAGGAAAAAACAATTAAAAAACAGGAAGGCAGCTTAAGAGAACTGTGAGACAGCTGGAAACGTAATAACATTCGCATCATAGGAGTCCCTGAAGAGGAATAAAATGGGCACGGGTTAGAGAATATATTTGAAGAAATAGTGACAGAAAACTTTCCTAACTTGGTGAAAGAAGAAGGCATTCAAGTTCAAGAAGCACAGAGAGCCCCAAGTAAGAAGAACCCAAATAGGCCCACACCAAGACACATAGTAATTAAAATGCCAAAAAGTAAAAACAAAGAATCCTAAAGGCAGCAAGAGATAAGCAACAGGTTACCTACAAAGGAACCCCGATAAGGCTCTCAGTTGACTTCTCAACAGAAACACTATAGGCCAGAAGGGAGTGGCATGAAGTAATCAAGATCACGAAAAACAAGAATCTGAATCCAAGACTACTCTATCCAGCAAGGCTATCATTCAAAATAGAAGGTCAAATAAAAAGCTTTCCAGACAAAAAAAGGTTAAGGGAATATATTAACACCAAACCAGCACTGCAAGATATGCTAAAAGGACCGCTGTAATTAGTAGAAGAAATAGGAAGAGAAATAGAACCACACTAAACAAAAATGGCAATGAATAAGTACATATCAATAATCACCTTAAATGTGAATAGTTTGAATGCTCCGATAAAAAGACACAGAGTAGGTTATTGGATAAGAAAGCATGACTCATCTATATGTTGTTTACAAGAGACCCATCTCACAACAAAAGACTCACATAGGTTGAAAGTAAAGGAATGGAAAAAAAAACTTTCAAGCAAATGGAAAGAAAAAAAAAAAAAAGCTGGGGTAGCAATACTCATATCTGATAAAGCAGATTTCAAAATGAAGGCCATAACTAGAGACAAAGAAGGCCACTACATAATATTGAAATGATCTATCTAACAGGAAGATATAACCTTGGTAAACATATATGCACCCAATATAGGAGCACCAACATTTATTAAAAATCTTTTAGAGGACTTCAAAAAAGAAATCAACAGCAATACAATCATAGGAGGGGACTTCAATACCCCACTCACATCACTGAATATTAACAAGGAAACAGACTCTAAATGAAGTGCTAGATCAAATAGATTTAATAGATATCTACAGAGAATTACACCCAAAACTGCAGAATTCACATTTTTCTCAAGTGCACATAAGACATTCTCAAAGACAGACCACATGTGAGGGCAAAAACTAAGTCTCTACAAGTTCAAGAAGATTGAAATCATATTAAGCCTCTTCTCAGATCACAATGGCATGAAACTAGAAATCAATTGCAACAAGAACATGCAAAGACATTTGAACACATGGAGGCTAAATAGCATGTTATTGAACAATGAATGGGTTACCATGGAGATCAAGGAAGAAATTAAAAACTTCCTGGAAACCAATGAAAATGAGCACACAACAACACAAAATCTATGGAATGCAGCGAAAGCAGTTCTGAGAGGAAAGTGCATAGCACTACAGGCCTACCTCAAGATACAAGAAAAATCTCTAATAGACTATCTAACCTCACAACTTAAAGAACTAGAAAGCAAACAAAAAAGAAAACCCCAGAGCAAGTAGAAGGAAGGAAATAGTAAAGATCAGAGCAGAAATAAATGACATGGAGACCAAAAAAACAATTCAAAGGATCAATGAAACAAAGAACTGGTTCTTTGAAAAGATAAACAAGATTGATGAACCCTTAGCTAGCTTCACCAAGAAACAAAGAGAGAGAACCCAAATACACAAAATCAGAAATGAAAAAGGAGAAGTAACAACTGACGCCAGAGAAATACAAAAGATTGTTAATAAATATTATAAACAATTATACGGCAACAAATTCGACAGTCTAAGTGAAATGGACAAATTTCTAGAAACACATAGTCTCCCAAAACTGAACCAGGAAGAGATAGAAAACGTGAACAGACCAATAACAACAAAGGAAATTGAAGACATAATTAAGACTCTCCCAGCAAACAAAAGCCCAGGCCCGGACAGCTTCTTAGGGGAGTTTTACTGAACATTCAAAGAAGAACTAACACCCGTTCTCCTCAAACAATTTCAACAAATTCAAGAAGAAAGACTTCCAAACTTTTATGAGGCCAGCATAATTCTAATTCCAAAACCAGAAAAAGACATTACAAAGAAAGAACACTACAGGCCAATATCCCTGATGAACATAGATGCCAAAATCCTGAACAAAATACTATCAAAATAAATTCAGCAATATATCAAAAAAATTATTCACCATGACCAAATGGGATTCATCCCAGGGATGCAAGGCTGGTAAAATATTCACAAATCAATAAATGTGATACACCACATAAAGAAAATGAAAGATAAAAATCACATGATCATATCAATAGATGCTGAAAAAGCATTTGACAAAATCCAGCATCCATTTCTGATAAAAACAGTCAGCAATTTGGGAATAGAGAGATCATATCTCGAAATAATAAAGCCCATATAAGAAAGAACAAAATAACCCCAGAGACATAAAAGTAGGATACAGACTGAAAAACCTCAGAAGAGGGGGTGGGGGTGGGGGAGGGAAGAGATAGACCACAGAACTTAGATGCAGGAACGCGTAACCATGGACATAGACAACAATGCTGGGGATGGAGTGCGGGAAGGGGGAGCAGGAGGAGGTTGTCAATGAGGGAAAAAGTAGAATCATCTGTAACAAAAATAAATTAATAATAATAAAAAAAATTAAAAAGACTTGTGTTGAGGTGGAGAGGATATGGAAGGCTTAAATCAAATGTCCCCAACCAAAACAGTTGGGGAGTAGCTACCACAAACTAGATTAGACTAGCCCAAGGCATAAACTAAGACAGTCCACAGCCCTGGGATTAGTCATGGAACTGAAGAGTAGAACACAGAACACAGAACTGTGCCTGCTGGGAGTCTGGAGTTTCTTGTGTCAGTGTGAGCCAGAGGAGGGCCTATGTCAGCTTTGTAAGGCTGCGCAAGCAGAGGTAGCACAGGGAGGATCCAACAGCGTCCAACTCGGGGTGAACACTACAGCTTGAACCACCTAAGGCACCACTCCTGCTCCAAAGCTTGTAACTCCATTTGTCATTCTGAGGCCTCTGCTTATCCTGTACCCCAAGGATGGAGCCACTACTAGGAGCGAAAATTAGCTCCCTATTTGCCCTGCTGATTATCACCCTGATCTGTGGCCTTATTCCCATCTGGTTCAAATGGTCCCAGATTGAGGCAACCAGAGGTATAGCCCTTCGGCATCTTTCCCCCCATAACCTAAGTCTGACTCCACCCTATCACCCTACCCTGACACCTTGCTCTGATCCTCCTGCCGTCCCCAAGCTTGGGTATTGGGTGCTGCCTGTTGCTCTTCAGTCACCTTTGTCCGTGTCATTGCCTGCTGGACTATAACTCCTGCTGTTCATTTGGTCGTCGCCACTGGGTCCTCAGCCTCCTGCGCTGCATTTTCTGCCGGTGTTTTCCTGGGAGCAGGGTTCATGCACATGACTGCCGAGGCCCTGAAGGGAACTGAATCGGAGGGCCACAAGCTCCCATTGCGGGTGAGCAGCTGAGGGGCCAGAATGATGAGCAGAACCAAGGGGAGAAGGGGAAGTGATGGAGCCAAGGACATGGGTGGAACGACAGGGAAGGGGACAACTCTTGTGTTGTGTGAACGACAACAGGCCGGGCTGCGCTTTAAGGAAAGCAGTGGAGCTGGAGGGTCAGGACAGGACAGGAAGCTGAGCTGCTCCATCCCCCATTTAATTTCTGCTTTTTTCTCCCTAGAACAAGACAGAGAGTGAGGGTGCTGCTAATTCAGCTGATGTAAGTGTCTCCCACCGCTGACCTGGGGTGAGGGGAACCAGAGACTCCTCACACCCAGACCCTTTGAGGGAGGACGTGAGGAACACCAGGAATCCCTTTGCTCCTCCGCTCAGACACTGTAGGGAAAGGAGGAGCCAACTCCGTCCTTTGGGGTGTACGGAACACCAGACAGAGCCCTTGCTTTGCTCTGTCCTTCTTTCTCTGGACCCTTAGACAAGCTCCCCATCATTTCAGCCCTACTGACACTGCACCCTTGGCCCCTCTGGTTTCCTTGTTGCGTGTTCATGTCTCTTCTGGGCTTCATCGCCTACCCTTTCTAATGTTCTAGCCCCCCATTTCCCGTTCTCTCCAGTCTCCCACCCCACCTCTGTCCCCTGAACTTCCGTCCTTTCCCGTCCCACAGCCCCTCTCTCTGTTCCCAGATGGACTATCCCTATGGAGAACTCATCATCTCCCTGGGCTTCTTCCTCATCTTCCTCTTGGAGTCGCTGGCATTGCAGTGCTGTCCTGGAGCCAGTGGAGGATCAAAAGTGCACGAGGAGGAAGTGGGAGCAGCTCATGTCCTTGGACTCCACAGCCATGGATCTCGACCCTTACCCTCTCGGAGTCCCTTTCGAGTCCTCGTCCTCTTGCTCTCACTCTCCTTCCACTCGGTGTTTGAAGGGATGGCTGTGGGGCTGCAGACCACAGTAGTAGCTACTGTGCAGCTGTGTCTTGCTGTCCTGGCTCACAAGGGGCTCGTAGTGTTTGGCATAGGACTTCGGCTGGTGCAGACAGGCACTGCATTACGATGGGCTGCGCTCTGCATACTGACATTTGCTCTCATGTCCCCCCTGGGCCTCATCCTAGGGCTGGCTGTGGCTGGAGGAGACTCTGAAGAGGGAAACTTAGCCCAGGCTGTGTTAGGGGGGGTGTCAGTTGGGACCTTCCTGTATGTCACCTTCCTAGAAATTCTGCCCAAGGAGCTATCTGGTTCTGAGTCCCCTTTGGTCATGTGGTGCTGTGTAGTCGGTGGTTTTACCTTCATGGCCTTTATTGCCTTGTGGGCCTGAGAGCTTCCTGACTTTTCTGATGGACTCATCTAGAATGATGTCCCTACCCCCAGAAGACACCTCCCATATGGCTCTGGCCCTCAGACACTTCTCCACTGAGACAGCGTGCCATTCACTAGACATCATCCCCATGAACCGGGTTCCACCTTTTCCTAAGTGAGATCCCACTGCTCACCCAGGACCGAGAAAAGGATGTGTATTTAGGTGAGTGCTGATACACTGGAGAATTTATGTAAAGACCATCACCCCAGATTTGACTCTTGTTCCATTTTTGCTACTGTGTGCAATAAAATGTCCATTTTACCTCCTCCCCCTTCAAGCATGCTCTACACCGCTTCTCCGGGTTATCCAAGAGCCGCCTAGTGGGGCGGGGAATGGGAAGGGTGAGTGTTGGAGGCAGTCTTGTCTTCTGGAATCAGAGCCCCGAGCCATTTTGTCATTTGTAGCCATGTCCCCAGATGTGGGAGCGTTGCTGAAATTCCAGCAACCTGCTCCCCCACTACCCACAGGTGTTGAGAAACTGAGCCAGAGTTCCCAGCAGTTAGAGTAAAGGTTTAAAAACAGAAACCATGGGGATCTAGCTTTTTGCTACACTAACCACACCTACCTCACTCCCTGGTAACAAGGTTGTTTGCAACAACGGACTCCTGAGATGAGGCTCATGGAGCCAGCCAACACCTGGTTTCTGTTTTTCACACTGAATCCTGTGTGGCCTCAGGGACGTGGGTGCTCGTCTTTGAGCTTCTGTCTCCCAGCTGCCTTGTGCTGCCGGATTACGGAGCAGTGTGTTTGGGGATGTAAAATACAGCATAAGGAGTATCATCAATAATATAATAACTGTATATGGTGTCACATGGGTACCAGACTTAAGGGGAGTCACTGTGTAAGTTATATAAATGTCTAATCACTCTGTGTGCATATGTTGAAACTAATATAATATTCTAGGTCAACTGTAATTAAAAAAAATTTAACTAAAAAAAAAGAAGAAGCAGTGTTTGGAAGGGAGAAAGGCGCCATAGATTCCAAGGGCGATCGCTTGGCTCTGCTGTGACACGGTGGCCTTCCTCTGCCCGCCTGCCTGCCACTCTGCCTCGGGCCCTCCCACTGGGCATTTGTCTTGCAGGTGAGTAACCCCTACAACGTGTCACTTCTCTTAATAACTGCCCTAGTACAAAAACCGATGATCTGGAGTTGAGGAGAATCAGGACGGCTGCTGCCCAGCCCCTGACCCATGAGGCGGAGGAATGTCTCAGACTGGTGGACAGACAGGGAAAGAGAAGGTGTGCCCTGTGGGCTCAGGCCCCCCCACCAGGCTGCCCCTCAGATACTCTCAGTGTAGAAAGAAGCCCAAGAGTCAGTCCTTAACATGGGCAGGTCTCCAGAGTTTCATTCTTGTCTCATTTTATTTCTGTCATCCGCCCTCCCCACTACCCTCCCCACAAATTACCATGTATATACCTTCTCGCCAGCCCAGCTTACATACTCAGGGACCAGTGAGAAGCCAGGATGAAGGCAAAACTAAATGAAAATGTATAACCAGCCAGCCAGTGTGGCTCAGTGGTGAGCGTTGACGCACGCACCAAGAGGTTGCGGGGTCAGTTCCCAGTCAGGGTACACAGCCTGGGGCTGACTAATAGCAATGCTGTCGCCTAGGCTGAGGGAAGGAGTCATCCACGAACAGCTGTGGCCTTTGGTAGAGGAATACAACCAGCCTGCAGGGGCTCAGAAAGGAGTACTCTAGAACTTAACACCCATCTCTCTGCTACAGTCTCACTGTGTGAACCTTCGGGGAATTACCCTTTCAGATCTCTTCATGAGCTCCAGTTTTCAAGCGGACACCACAAGGCTCTCATCACTGCATTCTTCAGTTTTATTCTCCTTCCCATTGAACCGTCTCTTAGCTATCTTGGATTTCTGTCCCTAAAGTCGGGAAACACATTCCTTGAGATTGAGAGGACGAGAGAAACAGGAGTCCTAAGGCTGAAGCAGAGACAAAAAGTAAGGAGTTTGTCGTTCAGCTTCTGTAAAGTCACCCACCTCTCCTGTGAGCCTCTAAACTCTGATCTTGAAAATGGGCAGGAGCCACCGACTATGGTATCGGGCCCTCCTTATGTAACTACTGTGCAAAATCACGAAGAACCAAAGAACCTTGGGAGACTCAGGAAGGGAACCAGGAACTGGGGAAAGTTAGGAAGAACCACAACAACCACAGGGGGGCACTGCACCCCCATGGGCAGGCCTGGAATGTCTAAGACTAACAAAGGTCAGTCAAGGACAACAAACCCTCTCCCTTGCTCACAGCAGAGAGCATCTCTCCCTCTACCCAACTCTTGGGCTTCGGATGCAGGGACATCTATAGAAGAGACACAAGGTTGCCACCTATTTCACATACCATCCCCATGGCAGGTACGGGGACACACACACACATTTTACACAGAAATGAGATTTTCTCCCTCTTCTGATTACCCTGCTAATATAACAGTGTTAGCTGTGCAGTTGACTGTGCTGAGACCTGCCTCCCCTTCCATAACGCACAGCAGCAGGCTGATGCTGGTTGGGGTTCTTTGCCTTTTATTCATGTTTGGTTCACCTAGGAGCTAGTTGTGCCAATAATTCCAATTATGCGGCATCTTTTCTTCAGTGTGGCATTTAAGTACCTGCTGCCTGCCCCGTGCATGGTCACCCAACACCCTCATCCCTTCTGATCCTGGCCTCCTGCATTTAAAGTGGACTCGGTCCTATGAGAGTGATGAAATGCTCAAGAGTCAGGAGCGTGTTTCACGCCCACTCCCAAGTCAGTGTGTCAGCGCTAGCCGTCAAGTTATATTAGTCGTCAGCTCAGTTTCACGGAAAAAAGGGTATTCTGTGGGGTTTCTATGAAGGAATCTGGCAAATGACCTTGTAATATTCCATCCACAGTACTCTGGCCAATAATACTGTGAAGTGCCTTCTCATTTTTACTTCTTGTGCTCCAAGAGCCCAAGGGTCAGCCTGCAACAGCCACAGCATATCTGAAGTTCCCTTGATTATTTTTTTTCTTTTATTAATGTTAGAGAGAGAGAGGAAGTAAGAGGGACAGAGAGATAGAAACATTGATGAGAGAGAACATCGACTGGCTGCCTCCTGCACGCCCCCAACTGGGGATCGGGCCCACAACCTGGGCATGCGCCCTGACCGAGAAACGAACCAGCAACCTCTTGGTGCACGGGTTGATGCTCAACCACTGACCCACACAGGCCAGACTCCCTTGATGATGATTGTTAATACTCATTGAGAAGCTTCTCAGAGAACCACAGATATAGTCTAATGAACTCCCTCAACTCTTGGATTCATGTGGGAGGAGGAATTTCTAAGAGGAAACCCTGGTTGCTGTGACTCACCTAAAGGAGTCTTCAGATTAGATCCAACTGAGTGACCCAACCACCTCTACAGAAACTGCATGAGGCCCCCTGGCCAGTTTTTCTCAGTGGTTAGAGCTTTAGCCTGCAGACCAATGAGTCATGGGTTCATTTCTGGTCAAAGGCACGTACCTCGGTTGCAGTTCATCCAGTCAGGGTCATGCAGGAGGCAACCAGTCGATATGTCCCTCTCACTTTGATGTTTCTCTCTCCCTTTCTCTCCCTCCCACTTTGTCTGAAGATAAATAGAAAAATATCCTCAGGTGAGGATTCAAAAAAGAAAAAGAAACCGCATGAGGTGTGGTCTGTTGATTGTATTGAACCACCTGAAATGGAATCTAGGTGACCTCACGGAGGATCCTGCAGGAGGGTGGTCACAAGATGTCCTTGGGCACTTCAGTCAGCTTTCTGTAGTTCTTTTTTTAAGATCATGATGTTGGTGACATCTGCCCATCTTCCCTTGCCCACTCTGGCCCAGTGTTCCATGCACCTCCCAGGCGAGGGCTGGGTCCCACACCAGGGCAACATGGGCCATTCAGCAAGAGACCTCCATGGTGAGCCCTGAGGGCACTCACTCACCTGCATCTCCCCAGAAGAGCAGCTGGAAAATGTCTGGCTCCAAAGAAGAAACAGCCTTCTGAACCCCACCAACCCCACCAGGATGATTCAAAGGGAAAAGACCTAGAGGGTGATGATCTGCTAAAATGGGATGGGATGCCGCCCCACCTAAGAGACCAGGGAGGTAGGGAAAATGTCCAGAGCTTTGGTCACCATGCGAAGTTGTACTGTCTTCAATGCTCTTCCCAACTTGTTTACACACCCCCCCCCCACCCAAAATCCTCCCCTCCCGCAGACAGCTTTACCCATCCAATAAGCTGTCTTCAGTTGGCAGTGATTATCTTTTGTTTTTGTTTTATTTTGTTTTGAAGCAGCAAAAGTTATTCTCAGAGACTGAGTTGTCTTTGCCAGCAATTTATTTAGCACAGGTTCACTGTGGGAATTATAATAAATTCACAAGCCAATAGTATGCAGGATAATGTCTCTTAATAAGCCAAATAAAGAAATAGCATACTCCAAACAAATGACAGGTTAATCACACTACTGTTCCAGGCAAGGGAAGGTGAAGGAATAAAGTTCAAGTTCAATGTGAGGCATACTTTTTTATGCCAGTAGACACTTGGAAGAGTCATTGTCTAACCAACAGCTGGTTTCCAACTGCCAGCATACATGTAAAAGTCCCCTGTTGCTAGAGCACGTTGCTAGGAAATGAAGACACCGTGTTGGTAGGCGGCTGATCTCTTTCATGGGGCTCCTACGTGGTTCACCACCACTGACTGCAAGGAGAGTCTCCCGAGGACAGGAGCGATTCACTGGGTCTTGCTCTTTGATTTCTGAAATGAAACCACAGTCTTAATTTTTTTCAAAGACATTTGATACTTATATCTGGAAGCCTACATTTCTGAATTTATAAGACAAGTGTATCCTCAATTGTTTGTATAACTCAGGCATGTCTTTTAGCATGACAACTTCCTTATCTTTCTATAGGACAGAAAGTTCCTCTACCCTTCCAAGTAACTTCTGGCTGGTCTAATAATCAAATTG